GGAGGCACACCCGGTAATTCTTCGGGAAAAACATTTGGAAACTCACGCACCACCGGAACTTCATCCACTGAACTCGGTCTCTCGGAGATCACTCGCGTATCCATCACATATGCCACAAAACCCTTACAGCCCTGCTGTAAACACTGCCTCGCCCTAGCGGCCGAACAAAAGGCTGATCCAGAACGTGTACCCTCGCCGTATACCGAAAGAACTCCCCCACTAGGATCTCGTATGGTCACCAGCTGACACTCGCAGTCGATAACCGCGCCGAAACGGCTCAACCAGTCCATGCCCACAATGACACAGACATCACCCATCGCAATAAGAACCAGATCAATCGGAAACTCAACCCCAAAAATCTCTAACACACATCCTTGGAGGACCTCCGTGGCATAAATCACTCTGTCGGCAGCTATGGAAACCCGCAGAGGCCGACTCAATGCTCACGACTAACACTGATATGCTGACTAAAGGCCAAAGATACAAAAAACCGACTCGCACCCGAGTCAAATAACACTAAAGCAGGCACAGAGTTCACAAGGAAAGTACCTATGCATAACATAATATAAGCATAATATCTCAACACCAAAATAAATGTATAGAAGGAAACGTACCAGCCACAATGTCGGGTGCAACGCGGACCTCCTCCGCAGTCAGCTGAAAGGCTCTCCCTCGAGCTCTCGGTGCCTCGGCCTTCACGAGCCGACTCTCTGTAGCTCTGATGGCGGCAGGGGCAGATCCCTGAGATGCTCCGCGCAGCAACGGACACTCCGCCTTCCGGTGTCAGGTCTGGTTGCAGTGAAAACACATTGCAAACCCCTTGGCCATATGCCCCTCCTTGCCACATTTGTAGCAAGATCCTGCTCGACAGACTCCATCATGACCCTTGCCGCACTTCCCGCAAGTGCGGCCCCTCTGGCTCCCGGGTTTGGGATCAGCGGGCTTGGCCCGCTTGGCTGCCGGCTGGGACTGTGCCGGCCGCCGATCCCTCCCCAGAGACTCCGCCTCCTCCTTAGCTTGTGTCTCAAGTTCAATCTCCCTCTTCCGGGCATTTGCCTGAAGCTCAGCAAATGTACGATACGAGGAGTTTGCGGCGAACTCCCGAATATCCCGTCTCAAAATGCTCAGGTAGCGGCTCATATGTGCCTGCTTAGTGGACACGTGCTCAGGACGGAACATCGTTTGAAATAAGAACAAGTTTTTAAAACAAAGGGTCATATTTTTTAAATTCATCATTTAAGTTTTTAAAAATAAAATTTTGGAATAAATACAAACAAACAAAACTTTAAAATATGCATTTGACCAAAACAATAAAGATTAAAAAATATGAAACAAATGTGCCAAATATATGAAACAACATGCTTGGTCAATTTGAGAAGTAACCAAACATGACTATTCCTAAACATGAGGAGATTTTAAGTAATATACTAATATTCAAACAAAATGTTAAAAAATGTAAAAGAACAAAATATCAAAATGTATTTTTTTACGTTAAACAATGTCTTCAAACAAAATATAAAAAAAATACTTTTAAATCGTAAAAACAAAAGTAAATTAATAAATTAAATAAAAAACAAGATTAATAAAAGAAAAAATAAATTAGATCATTTATATATTTAAAGAAAATAAAAAATCATAATTATTACCTAATCTTTAGTTATTTAAAAGGAAATAATGTAATTATTATGGTGTATGATTAAGTGGAGAGAAGTAGAAATAATTGAACATAAGACATAGATTATTCATACGGGTACTACTATTAATACCTGGTTAGGTACCAGATTTTTACATCATTTATTTTTATTGCAGCTTTTTTTAAAATTCTAATCAATGTATTCTTTTAATACATTAGAGTATTCTTTTAATACATTGAATAATGTATGCTGCAAACAATCAGAATATGCTTTATTTGTTGGTTTGGAAGACTATGCAAGCAAGCACATTGAACATTTACACAAAATTGTAAATACAACAATAAATGTATAAATTACTTTTATAAAATTGAATATAAATTGTTAAGTATTTTTATACATTCATCAGTAAAACCATACCCATTAACCAACGGTCGGTTACTATTCACCGCCACTAACCACCGTCATCAAATTCTTCTTTCGGATTGTACTAGAAACTAGACTAAACGAGGGAGAGACCGCCTTCAGCCCAGTGTAAGCTAACCACCGTTGTCGGCCACCACTGTAGGGAGTTGCAGGAGAGAGAGAGAGAGAGAGAGAGAGAGAGAGAGAGAGAGAGAGAGAGAGAGAACAACGGAACGTGTTGCTGCTCACCATTAGACCACAATGGACGTCGTGGGAACATCGGTCCACCTTAATCCTCGTCGGAGTGTCGAATAAATAGTGTGAGAATCGTCAGAGCACTGAAGCGTTCCTCTCCCCCTTTTTCTCTTCTTGACGGCCGGTAGAGTTTAGGAGAAAAGAACATTTTATATCTCTTAGATTACTCTCATTTGTAACTAAAAGGCTGGTTGGTTGTCTATTATAATAAAAAAGAAATTGAAAAACCACAAAAACCACAAAAACCCACCAACCTGTTTGGTCCACCAAACATGTAGTTGGTCTTTCTCTCTCTGCCACTTGTTTATTTCTCAGTTTTTCTTTTAATTTTGTTTTTTATTATATTTACTTTATCAATAATTAAATGATATATATTTGTAAAATAAATAAATAAAATATACTAAAATATGTAGAAAACAATAATCTACAAAATGATATCACTATTGATATATTTTTCTGATAATTTTTTATATCTTTTTTATATAAAATGTTAGATTGGGTTTGGTTGGATAAAATTGTTAATGGGTGTAAAAAATTAAGGTTAGTTGGTTGTATAGATAGAAGAGAGGAAAATTAATATTTTAATAGATAGTTGGGTTGAGTTTGGTTGTGAATGGGGATAATCTTAGGGTTCCAGTGTATATTTTTTTAAATAAAGTATATTTATTTATATTAACTATTAAGTTTTTTTACAACAATTCTGTTAAAAAGCTTCACCAATTTTTTTTAATATAATATTGTAAGTTTTTTTTATTGACGCTAGTACTTCGCACAAAAACAAATACTTTATAGTTATAAAATTTAAACTTACAACCCACTATTGTATTTTCTATCCATACACTTTATATCTACATTTGTATATATTTATTTTTTTATTTTTTTAATAAATATTTTTACAAATTACTTCATACATTTTATACATGTTTTTTTTTTTCTATTACGTCACTTTTATAAATTGCATATAATTTATTTTTTAAATAAATTACACCAATTTTATTTTTTGTTTTGATTTTTGTATATAAAAATGTTTAATTATTTATATGTTAAGAAAAACTATTTATTAATATTTTACAATTATCAGTCAAAAAATAAGGTTTTTATGTAATTATGACTTGATTATTATGTTAATGATTATATATAATGATTAGGGGTATTATTAGAATTAAAAGGAGGTATGAATAGCTAGTTTATTCATACACTTTCAATAGTCTATCTATACCTCTTAATGATTAAAGTTTGATTTTTTTAATTAAGATAATTATGTTTATCTTTTTTACCTATAATTATTACTCATTATTAAAGAATGATGAATATTTTTTCTTAATATAATTGATATTATTAAGTCATGGGATTTGATAATTCCTCATCACTTGAATAAAAATTAAGTCCTTTACAAAGTGTTTAAATAAATCTGTATTTTAATAAAGTTTCAACAATCATTTTCATAAATAAAAACAAATCATACATTGAATGAAGACAACAAAATAAAATTCACATAATTTTAATATATATTGTATTCTCGAGATCATTTTTTACGTTAACATATCTTTACTACTTATAAAAGAAATCTAACTATTTCTATAAATAGATTGAATATAATAATATTATTTTTTAAGACGTCCAAACTATTAAGCTTGAAGTACAACCCATTTATAATATAATAATATTAAAACTTTAACCTTATCCTTTATCCCCTAAAAATCTCATATCAAATTAATAGAAAAATTAATTTGCAAATTGAACCCGTCAATCTCAACACTTCATCCATTTGAAGCGGTCAATGTCAACAATTTATAGAGGATTTTTTTTCTCACATTGGTAACAAGTCATCTCATAATATTTATCTTCGTAATCCCTTCAAAGTAAGAAATATACGCACACTCTCTCGAAGAACCCTAACCAGTAACCAAGACAGTATAACCACCACCACCACAGCCGCTCTGCCTCCTTCCGCCTTCAACCAACCACTATCACGACTACCGTCATTCCTCTCACCCACGGCATGAACTTTCTTTTGGAACATAACATTTTTCTTTAAAAAAATATCGTTGAAAGAAGCTATTTGTCCCCGCTGCTGTGCGCGGGTAACGGCTAGTAATTAGAAAGCAATTACCAAAATAAAAGCTATCTTTTTTTATGAAAATTATAGAATGATTAATAATACTCTCTACTCATTAAAATAAATAAATAAATGTAGAGTATAAGTTGGGAAGGTTTAAAATAAAATATCTTTAAATTAATGGGATGTTAACATGAAAATTTTAAAATTTTAAAATGACAAAATTGCAAAAATGGTCCCTGTGGTATGCAATTTTGTGGGGTTTTAGTCCAAACCATGACTTTTTTGGATTGGTGGTCCTTTTGAGGTAGTTTGCTTGTGATTTTGATCCTTCAATAAATTGAAAAGACTAAATTGCCCTTATTATATTTATTTTCCACTTTTCTTTTTTTTCTATAAATATTTATATATAAAAAATAAAAATAGGGGGCCCACTCTCTCTCTCTCTCTCTCTCTCTCTCCCCCCCCCCCTTGATCTTGCAGCTATAACAAAAGCAGCTTCATCAGGGGATTCAGCTTCATAAGTAACTCTCCTTGTTTCTTCATCAACATCAGGAATCGTTGTCCCTGTTTCTTCATCAACATCAGGAATCGCTGTGTGACAAATCGCAAGTAATCTAAAGAACTTCTGAATAACATCAGAACGTGGTTCAAGAAGCCAATAACCATTCAGGAATCCTTTCATCTTCAAAATTATACCCTTTTACAGATAACCCAGAATCATCGTCTTCATCATCATTATCGTCATCAAGAACTCTTCCATTAACAACCAATGGTGATCCTGTCTTTTTCGCCATAGCTCTTTCAACTTCTGTAACACCACGTCCGTATGTTGTTCCTGCTATTGAACACTTGATGAACTCCATTGAATTGCAGGTTAAAGTCCCGGTTTTATCTGAGAAAATCGTGTCGATTTGGCCGAGTTCTTCGGTGATATTTGAAGTTTGCGCGTGTGTGGGTATATCAGCTTCTTCGTAGTACATATGAATGTCGTTGTTGATGAAAATCGTCTGTAGAACTTTCACGATTTCTATTGAAACGTATAGAGAAATCGGGATTAAATATGTGTATAACAATAAAGCTGTGAGAAAATGGAAAATCGCTGCAGCTGGAGCGCGTTTCGGGTCGAAAAAGATCTCTGAATCGTCGAGTCTCAAATACCATCGTTTCATTCTGTGATTGTGAAGATAAGGGGGGTGGAGACTGTTGGTGGCGAATGATGGTGGCTTATGTGTTTATGAATCTTGATTGCGTTTTCTACATGTAGGAATTGAGCATTTTTGATGGGAGAAATTAGGTTTTTTGGAAGGAGAGAATATGGTGAAAGGAGGAAGAAGATGAAGAACAAAGTCGTATGTGTTTTTGGTTGTAATCCAGAGAGAGAGAGAGAGAGAGAGAGAGAGAGAGAGAGAGAGAAGTGGGCCCCAAATTAGGTAATTATTTTATTTTTCATTTAAATTAAATAGAAAAAGAATAAAAATATATATCAGAAGGGCATAATAGTCTTTTCAGTTTACTGAGGGACCAAAAACGCAAAGAAAGTAGCTCAAAAGGACCACCAATCCAAAAAAGTCGTGGTTTGGACTAAAACCCAAAAAAATTTGCATACCACAGGGACCATTTTTGCAGTTTTGTCTTTTAAAATATAAAAGGCTTACTTTCTTAACCCTAACAACATAAATTCCAGCTGCCGCCAAGAAGAATGAGAGCGATACTCTAGCCGCCACCAAAAAGAGTGAGAGCGATACCAGGAGGATATTTCTGGCGGCTTCTCTGACTAAATGATAGGATGTTTCAGGTGGTTTCTCTGACTTTTTCAGGTCGTTTGACAATGTTTATAGCCACTAGTCCGACGAAGTTCTTTCTAATTCATATAGATTCGGATTTCGACGAAATCTATATTTTCGGGATCGGGACGATGTGTACTTGCTATATATATATATATATATATATATATATATATATATATATATATATATGTTTTGATGCACTTATTTTTATGATTTACGAACGATTCGACTGATGTTTCTTATTATATTATAATAATCATGAAACATATAATGTTCAATTAATTTTTTTATCACGTCAAATAGGTTACAATTGTTAACCCTAACTATTACTTTGGTTAATATTATTTATCCTAGATAATCTTTTATAAAAAAAATCATTTTTAACGTTTATTATATCTTAATTGACAAGCCCAAATCTGCGGATGTTATAATTATCCCTCTTTAGGATGATTACGTCCCGGAATCATTAAAAAAAGGGGGGGGGGTTGTTTAATGACTCCGTACAATAACATGATGACGGATTAATTGCTCTGATACAATTTTTAACAACATGACAGATAAATGAATATTAGGATAAGATTATACCTGATTGATGCGTTGGATTGTCTTGATGATGGATTGTGTTTAATAATTGAATGTTTATGTGGATAGTTTGGATAGGACTCTGCTATTCAGAAATAGACAAACTATTTCAACAGAGAAGAACTTTGAGATCAACTCAAGTCTTAAACACTCAAACTTAACTTGTTTATTTCATATGGACGAAGGCCATATTTATAGGCTCGAAGGAGCCGGTTACAATTATTGTTGCAATCGTTTGATTGCAAAACGATACACATAATTTTCAATATAAACCCCTAGACTATGGAGGGTCTTACACTTTATGTCACATCCTACCGACACTATTTTAATACAAACGACAAACACAAATAATTATACCGACCGGGGGGGGGGGGGGGACTCCGTTCATTTTCTTTCCATCCTAGGTAATAATCATAACTCTTATGTCCTTTCAAATGAGTATCTAACTCTAGGACTCATTGACTGATCGTTCATTTTCTTTCCATCCTAGGTAATAATCATAACTCTTATGTGCTTTCAAATGAGTATCTAACTCTAGGACTCCTTGACTGATGGCGGTGCGCAATCTTGCACCCGCTCTTTATCCTATGTTGGAATTTCAATCTTAACCTTCAAGTTACAAACTCAGTCCTTATTGGAGACTCATGCTCTTTCTTAAACATACTTAAATCAAGATAAGTTCTTTACTTCGATTACCGTAACAGATTGATGAGACATGTTCTAATGAGATCTCGTCGTATGATGCAACGCTTAGACTTAGGTCTTTTAGAGTCAAATTCCATAACTGTATATACATTCCTTCATGTTTGAACGTGATATAATCACATTCTAACATGTAGCACTTCTAGCTATAAACTTCTTACCTTAATAACGATCCGCTTCACTTTGATTATCTTTCACTTTCTTCCACTAATTCTTGTTTGTTCTTACACATAAATACCTGCTATGAAAAATAGATGTTACATTCGATCACAATAAAAAATAGTTTCACAACTAAATGTATACACAAACCATTATGCATTACACTTGCAAGTCACTAACCACATCCCCATATTATCTGGTAACTTAAATTTTATCGGTTTTATTTTAAATTACATCGCACAGAATATTCATGTAATTAACATTTAATCTTTTTTTATTCCAAATAAATAAGGTAGTCGATGTAACCTATAATAGTGGTTATAGTGATAGCTTTACTAAAGATAACTTAATGTTAAATCATATAAAAAAAAATAGTTTAGTACCTAATCGTTAAGTTGTCAAGTTATTAACCCTTGTCTAAATGGTTTTGAAATAATACAGATCAACACAAATAATTCCTTTCCGTTTATATTTAAATTGGTTTCGAATTAATATTGGTTAACCTTGTTTTGTGTGCAACTCTACCTTTTGACTTGAACGATTCTTTAAATTCATGTTAATAGTTTTAACACTAGGTCATCTGGTATATTAATCATTACAACAAATATGGTAGGATGTCATGTTACTGCCACATCATCACTATACTAACGCCGCATAAGTTTGATATACTCACAACTACTCATCACATTTTTTAATTGAAAATAAATGAAAATGTTAGATTTTAAATTAAAATAGAAACATTATTTTGACAGTTGCATGTAGAAAGAGTTTTGACGAAAGTTTGCTACTCTTTTATTGGTCGTCTTCCTTCGTGGTCAGGACAACAATCAACAACCCCACAACCACTATGATGCATAAGGAGTAGTGTGCATATTGTACTCATGACAACAATCAACAACCCCAAAACCATTATGATACGTAAGGAGTAGTATGCATATTGTGGTGGTCAACCATAGTGACAAGAACCATCCTCATGATATGTATAAATAAAGGTCTTAAACATTTAGGCCTATGGAAAATGACCAACTCTCACACAACAACACGTTAGTATAGTGGTGTAGATGGGCTGTTGTATTCATTGTCTAAAACACAAAATCTGCAAATTGACGTTTATCATCTTTCTTATTTATAAGAATTAAATTTTTCCTCAAAATTCAATGTTACCTTTTGTTGTATAAATTAATCCTTTTTTTTTTTTTCTCTAATATAGCGTCATGAATAAAATAATTACTTTCTTATTAAAAAACAAAATACTTATTGCGGATTTAAATTTGATTGGTAAGGGTATCCAAAAACTAACTAAAACTTTATTTGCTAACTAAACACCATAAATCAATAGTAGATGTGGTATTAATTATATTGGTATAAATTTGGGTATACGATTAAGTAAACACGAAACAATTTGATTTCTAACCAAAACAAGTTTAATTGCAGTTGTAACTTTGTTTTCAATTACTTGGCATTGAATTCAAAGCATTGCACAAGCAAAGGGTTCTTCCCAAATGGAAGAAAAGAACTAGAAATATTCTTTAGTTGACTCACACGATTACGAATATTGCCAATGTACTCAAAGGCTTTTGTTTTTTTTCATCAAAAAACAAAAATAAAAAACCCTTTTTAGGCCACAAAGAACAAAAAAGAACTTTTCTAATCAAGATCTTGGAAAATATATGTATTAAATACAACAATCAACATGAAATAAATTCGTAATGTTTCCTTAAATTTGAATCATTACCCAGAAATGCAGAATATACAGAGTATAAAAAGTAATTTAAAATTTAAAAGAAAAAAAAAAGCAAGAAATTACTATTATCGATGCCAAAACACTGTACAATGTATTAACCTGAAATCATAGTTTCGAGATCAAATGAATCAACTCCGTCTGCCGGTGAGCGGAACAACCTCCGCCAACGGAGTCGAAAGTGGCGTCGGGATCGGAGATGTCGTCCGGCAATTTGGACACGTCGGATTCAACCGGAGCCACGGGTCAACACACTTGACGTGAAAAAGGTGGCCGCAGTCCGGCAGCTGTCGGAGCAAATCTTTCCCCTTGTAATCAGCCAAACAAATCGAACAACACGAAGAGCCTGAATCTTTTCGCTTGATCTTCACATCTGAATAAGCGACGATCGGATAGCTCAAAAGTGTCGCCTCATCAAGACCCACGTTCACCACGAAATGGTCTGAGTCTGGTTGGCCGGAGATCGCACCATTGCCACTCCTCCGCCGCCGGGAACTGAATTGCTGTGGTGGTGACGACGGTTGTGTACTTCTAGTACAATAATAAGAAGCCAAGGTGATGGTTATGATGAGGAGAAGTATGCCGAATGAGATTCCGATACCGTACCCGAACCCTCCGACGTTTTGTGACCCAAGAAAGCCACCGGAGTCAGCCGCCGGCGCCGCCGTGTTGTTCATGTTTTCTTCAGGGAAATTCGAAGATGGAGATTTGGGATTGGATGTGTGGCTTTTGGTAGGCCATTTTTAGGGGGTTGTAGGTGGTGGGTGGGTATGTGGAGGGGTTTTAAAAGATTTTTATAAAATGAAATTAAAAGATTAATTAAAAAGGTCAACGGTAGCGTATGTATGATGGGCAGATGTGGATGGATGTGTAGAAGGCAAGTGAGATTTATAAGTTATTTTTTTATATAAACAGAATAAAATATTCATATATATTAAAAAATAGGGGGTGAAGTGTCATTTTTCTAACTAATCATTAGTTTGATAATAAAATAATCTTATGAAATCGAAGACCAAATTATTAAATACAAACTGCATTTTTTTAAAATAATGAAACCAACTGTTTAGTTTCAAGGCTTGACTGATGCGTAATCGAGATTATTTTAGGTTTGAAAATACAATTATATATATATATATATATATATATATATATATATATATATATATATATATATATATATATATATATATATATATATATATATATATATATATATATATATATACACAACGTTTTAAGGTGAAGAAAAGATATCATTTTTTATTAGAACATAAGAATAAGATCATGTTATTGAAAACTTTAATAATACTTTTAGTAATTGTTTTTGTTTTTTTCTCAAAAATGGTTTTAGAAAATAGGTTTCAATTTTCGGTGTCTAGTGAAAATTTTAAAAAATATGATGGGTTGAAACTGATAGAGTTTTTTTTTTTTTTTTTACATATTCAAAAAACATTGGAAAACTATAAAAATTATTTTTATAATTTATATACAATTTAAAAATTAAAAATTTTATTAGAAAATTTTAAAAACCAAATCAACCAAAGTTATTTTCAAATTTTACATTTTCATTACAAAGTAAACTATTTTCCCCTCATCAAACGCCTCTTTAAGCTTTTATTATTTGTTTTGATGGGTCTCAACTTTGTTTTGTTATATACTAGGTGTGTGACTCATGAATTACATGAGTTTATTTAAAAAAAAATTAAATATAAAAAAGTATGAATTTATAAGAAAAGTTAAAAAAATATTGAATTATAAAAATTAGAGTATTTTTTCTCTTTTAAATTTAAACAAATAATTTAGATAAATAAATAAAGAAAATTAATGAATCTTTAATTTGGTAATTTTGAAATTAGAAGGAAAATTCATTAATGAAATTGATATGCATTTTTTATTGAATATAAATACCATTTAGAATTTAATAAAATGAAAAAAAAAATATAAAATGACATGTGGAATAAAAATTAATTTAAAATAACCACAAAATTACATGTGACAAAATAAATGAGAATATGACATGTGTCAAAAAATCTTTATTTATTAGGGAAGTTTATATGCTCAAACTAAGTTTTGTATAGAGTAATAAATTTTCTAACATAGATCAATATAAAGTTAATGTAGATAGGATTCGAACATGGATAAACATCATTTAAAATGTCCTTATTCTAATAAATGAATAGTTTTAATCTTGTCACTCTAATATAATTTCTCATTAATATTATACCATGTGTCATGTAGATATATTAGACAACTAATTTCAAAATTCAAATTTACATTTTCTAATTATGTTAAATTTGAAATTATAATAACTTTAAACATTTTATATATCTCTTAACTAATAATTCATTTAAAATGACTTATTTAAAATAATTGATTAATAATTATAAAATTTTTATTATAACCTTGATTTCCATAGATTAAAAACTAGTTTTATAATAGATAAGACTTCACGGAGTGGGATGCGGTTTGTAACCGCGATGATGACGCGTGGCCAGGGAACACCGCCCCCAGGGTGCAGTTAGGTGCAGCCAAGACCGTAGCGCGGTCCTTGAAGACCGTGGTTTGTGATTGGTTGTTGGTGGGCGTGACCGTTAGAGGCATAAATGAATTGATTTATTTATTTTTCTTTTTTGCTTTTTGAAACTGTGGCACCACTCCCTTTGTGTGCCAATAAACCACTTGTATGGTAAAAAATATCATGGTGCTGATGTGGCGGGGAAGGAGTGCGGTTTCGATTGCACCACACCCTCTAGCCTAATCATTACTATTCCACTGTTATTCCAGTGGCAGTGGCATCGTAGTCCTCAAATCACCAACTCAAAAAGCTTAAGAAACATGAAATTATATGATTTTTTTAATATAATTATTTTACGGTCCTACAATTTTAATCATATATTGTAATATTAAATAAATAAATAAAATAATATTATATATGAAAAAATTAGCTTGGAAAAGAGCTTAAATGCATATTGTCGTGTTTAATGCCATATAATATTGTACAGTAGATAAAGAATCTTGTAACGTCACTTATATAATAAATTTACATTATTGATTTAAAAATTTGACATGCATCAACCAATTAATTTAATATTTAAATTAAAATAATTCATATTTTGTTTGTATGCGAAATTTTATAATTTTTAATTATATAACATTTATCACAAATTAATTACAACCTGGGTAGGGATTAAGGGTCGTTTGATAGTTGCTGATTGGGTTAGAGCTGACTGAGTTAGGAGCTGAATGGGTTAGAAATGCTGATTGAGTCCACATCTGACTGAATTTATGTTGTTTGATTATTTATCTGACTGATTGTGCTGAATGATTAAAATGACCATATTATCCTTATGTTGTCCTTTTGTGCTGGATAAAATAATTATACAAATAAAAATTATCACATTAAATCCAAATTAAACATACATAATTAAAAATCCAAATACGAAGTGTACTACAAAATCCAAATACACATTGTCATATATAATAAAAAAGTATATCATTTAACGTGAACCATTTGAAAGTAACTGATTAGCAATCTGGTCACACAAATTAGTCATATACTCAACGGCTTCCGAACCCCATTCTATGCCTTGTATGTTTTGGCCCTCACTTCCTCCACCTCCCACATTAGGAGTAACCATATTGTTTTGTTCAAAGTTCGTAAATAGGTCATCTTCAATATCGTACTTATTTATAAAATTATGGATCGCGACACAGGCAATGACTATGTCTCTTTGCACTGGAAAAGGATAAGGAGCCATACGTTTTAAAATTGGAAATCTCGCCTTTAATACACCATAAGCACGTTCAATGTAATTTCTAAGTTGTGCATGAGCATGATTGAACCTTTCTTCCTTAGTTAAAGCTCTGTTTCTTCGAAAATCAGCTAACCAATACCTAGTATTGCGGTAAGGAGCCATAAATCCACGGGTGTTGGTGTATGCGGCATCACAAAGGTAATATTTATCTGTAGATGGGTGAAAAATTAATCATATAAATAATATAGATAATAAAACTTATAGAAAAATGACAAACCTGGTGGAGGGAATGGAAATCCAGAAGTCGGATTAAATGCAACTTCTTTCAAAACTTTAGAATCGTGTGCTACGCCCTCCCATCCAGCCCATACAAAGGTGAATATCATATCAAAATCACAAATTCCAATTACATTTTGATAACATTCACCTTTTCCTCTTCCCCTATAGCGAGTTTGTTCATCAACGGGCACAATTGCATGTACAAGTGTTCCATCTAGTGCACCTAATGTTCCAGGAAATATGTTTTTTAGCCGTCTATAACGTTCCGAGGTATTTCTTGTTGTATTAGAAGATGTTGGTACAATAATTTCTCTTGCAAAACACATCATTGCTTTTAGCACTTCATGAAAACATTGATGAATCGTTTGTATGGAGTGGTGAAATCTTTCTTTAACAGCTCGAAAACGTTCATTATGTCCTACAACATGTAAAAATATAGCCATCTTCTCTTCAATGCTTATTGTCCTACTATGTTGCAACCAATTTCTTTGAGTAAAATGATTGCATAATAAAACAAATGCATCTTGTGAAAGACGTATCATATCAAAACATTGTATAGGATCTCCGTGTATCAAATCTTGTGTATATGCATGCCCATTTTCTTTCGATTCGTTAGCTTTTATTCTTTCTATTCTTTTTTTCTTTTCCGAACCAACATCAACCAATAGCATGAGAGTATAAGGAAACCTAAAAACTCTCCTTCCTTATCCATATGTAACCTGTTACATATTAATACAAATCACATAAGTTTTATAACATAAACCATAAAATTAATCAATAACATTAAAATGGATGGCATATAACTCCATAAAATAAAAATCCATAACAAAAAAGTCAATACCAATTAACAATCCTAAACATAACACATAAACAACCTAAACTTAAAAATCCTAAACATAACACGAGACAACCCTACACATAAAAATCCATAACGTGTACCATAATATAAATCCATAAAGCATAAAGAAAAAAACATCCTAAAGTCATACTACAGTCAACCAAGTAATCCATAATTCTTTCCCGCACTTTTCACCCACAACTCACAAGTCGAAGACTCGAGGCGTAACCAAATTTTCCTGTTACCAGCATTTTCAGCGAACAACATAAGAGCGGTGATGTATTTAGGCTCAGAATTTCCCCACTCCAAGCCTTTCAATTTTTCAATACATTCATCCATCTCCTTGTCAAGATTATTAGTTTGCGCGAACGCCTGAGCTGCCTTCATAATTTCCTTGCCAACCTCTCTTATGTCATCATCTAGTGTTTCCGTGGGTGCATTCCTTTTTCCTCTTTTATTTTTAGATCGGGCAGACAAATCTCCACTTGCATGTGATGCACTTGTAGGTGGGGGTACTGTTGAAGCTGAGGCTGGGATATCCATTTGAGGCGGAGTATCTACCATCTCGATATCCTCATAATCTTGTGTGGTAAAGGCTTATGCAGGATGAGGGAGTGTCGAAGATGGTCCCCAACTAGCAGTACCGATCGAGGTCGCACCATCAAACAACTTGGTGCATAGATCAGGGTAAAGGAGGGGTGCATTTCTTAATTTCTCAACCATCTTTGTTCAATCGTTTGAAAAAATAATTTTATTATTAAACTTTTTAATAAATAATAATGTGTTTTAAATTAAAAGATTACCT